AGCCCCGGAAGTCCGTGCTCGTGCTCGTTCTTGTTCCCTTGTGGTCACCGCCTCCGTTGTCCTCGCCCCCGGTGAAGCTCGCCGCCCCGCCCCCCGCAGCGAACTCGCTCGGGATGCTAGCAACCACTCTGGCGTTCCTGAGCACCACGACCGGCGCCGCGTGCTGCGTGGCCCCCCCGCCGCCTTGCAAGCCAGCCCGCGCGGCTTCGGCCGGAGGAGGGGAGGGCGACCTGGTTCGCGCAGCCAGGATGCGCCCCCTCGCCTCCTCCTTCCTCTCCCCTCTGCCCTTGCCGGCCCTGCCTCCTCATCCGCTTCCCGTCTCCCCATACGTCAGGTTCGTGTGGTGCCGACGCAGCGGCGATCCGTGGCTTGGAGTCGGGCAGCATCGAACGATCCGCGCTGTCGGAAAGCCGCGACCGCTCAACGTTGAGCCATCAACGCGGTGGCACGACCCTGCCGTACCCTGGATCCCCCCGTCCTCTCTCCTCCCCAGCGCCCCCTGCCGCTTCTGCTTCCTCCCTGCCTCCACTCCCTAGCCTTAAGTCGGGCATGCCCCTCTACAGGGGGAATCTACCGAAATAGTAAAACAACTATCTGGGGCCCCTCGTATTTGTCAACTCTTTTTAACATTTGGTGTGACTCTTTGTAATTTTTCGCTCAAAATCCGCCTGTAGGGGGACATGCCCGAACAATGGTCTGGGGACGATTTTCCTTGTATCTTTCGACTCTTTTTGAATATTTTGTGACTCTTTGTAACTTTTCGTCCAAAATCCGCCTCTAGGGGGACATGCCCGACCTGACCGTAGCCTGGTGGGGCAGCCAGCGCCTTGACGCGCACGCGAGCGCGCCTCCCCGCGGACCGAGCTCCCGGTGCACATACGCTCGGAGTGGGCCCCGTGCGGCGAGCGATTTTCCCGCCGCCTCGCGGAGTGATCCCTGCGCTCCTGGTGATGAGCCTGTTTTCCACCACTACCACCATAAATTGGAGGGGGGAAGGAGGAGGAGGAGGGCGAGGAGGAGGAGGAGGAGGAGGACAAAGAGGAGGAGGAGGAGGAGGAGGAGGAGGAGGAGGAGAGGAGGAGGAGGAGGAGGAGGAGGAGGAGGAGGAGGGGAGGAGGCGGAGGAGGAGGAGGAGGAGGAGGAGGAGGAGGAGGAGGAGAGGAGGAGGAGGAGGAGGAGGAGGAGGAGGAGGAGGAGGAGGAGGAGGAGGAGGAGGAGGAGGAGGGAGGAGGAGGAGGAGGAGAGGAGGAGGAGGAGGAGGAGGAGGAGGAGGAGGAGGAGGAGGAGGAGGAGGAGGAGGAGGAGGAGGAGGGAGGAGGAGGAGGGAGGAGGAGGAGGAGGAGGAGGAGCAGGAGGAGGAGGAGGAGCAGGAGGAGGAGGAGGAACCCCCTTTTTCAACTCATGGTGGTGGTGGTGGCGGAAAACACGCCCATCGCTTGGAGCCTCGCCGCTTTCCCTCTCGAGCGCAAGCTGCACCGCAGATGGATGTCCGCCTCGGCTGGCCGGTCGAGCGAGGCAGCGGCACGAAGGCGCAGGGAGAGCGTGGGCCAGGTTGGCGAGGGCCACCCGATCTGGCACCGGCTCGCCCAGGCGACAGAGCAGTGGCGCTCTGCGGGAGCTCGAGGCCGGCAGCCCAGGGGGCGGGAGCGCGCGAGGCGCGCGGGCAGCACAACCCACCCCCACTCTCAGCTGGGACCCCCGCTCACGACCTGGTGATCCAGGGGGTCCTGGCTTGGAGGAGGGATGGTTTGGGGAGGTTTTTGAGGGCCAGGCCCTCCCTGGCCAGGACCGCCTGGACACGCTCGTGGCCGCGCCCTCCCGCCGCCTGGAGCGCACAGAGGCAGCGGCGCTGCCCGAGCTGCTGCGCGCGCAGGAGTCGTCCACAGACCGGGGAGCCCGCAGCGTCTGGAACAGCTCTTGCGTGGACCAGCAAGGGCGCTCAGGGGAGGGCAGATGCCGGTCCTGCTGTTCGTCCGGGAGGGCCCCCGCCACCATGGCTGACCTCTCTCTGGGATTCAGGTCAGAGCGCACCCCGGGAGAGGCCCGGGGAGCAGTGCCATCATGACACTTTGGTTCCAACAGGCTGGGGATCCCGCAGAGTCCTCGAATTCGGCGTGGACCGGCAAGACTGCCGAGGCCTCGGACGCGCGGAGCCACCCGGTCGGCACGAGCTCGCTACGGTTGGGTTCACCGCCTCGCCCCTCGGGTGCGAGATTTCGCATCGGGGGGTGTGCGGTCCCGCTGGCGCAGAAGGTCTGTACCAGCAGTGCTTGGAGGGAGAGAAAACGGGAACATGACCAAGACTGACCGCGGAAACATCATGCCGATCTTGGCCACCGTCGATTTTGTTCAGCGTCAACTCGTGGATCGCCCTAGCGAATCGGCGACGGCCACCAGAGACCATGACCAATGCAGTCGGGCCGAGGTATGAGATCGAGCTCGGTTCCGGGAGGGTGCCCTAGTGTTCTTCGTGTTTGTTGGATGCCCTTGTCCACCCGGCTAGGGTGCCCTTGCATGTTCAATGCGTTTTGGCCAGCGGAGGGTCTTTTGTTCTTGAGGGGTGTTCTTCTGATCTAGGTTCGATTGTACCTTCCCCGATCCACGGATCTGGCGCCCACGTTTGGGCGTGGAGGAGGCGATGGGGGAGGTAGCGATGGTGATCGCTGACGAGGAGGAGGAGGAGGAGGAGGAGGAGGAGGGAGGAGGAGGAGGAGGAGGAGGAGGAGGAGGCGGAGGAGGAGGAGGAGGAGGAGGGGGAGGGGGAGGGGGAGGGGGGAGGGAGGAGGAGGAGGAGGAGGAGGAAGGAGGAGGGGAGGAGGAGGATGAGGAGGAGGAGGAGGAGGAGGAGGAGGAGGAGGAGGAGGAGGAGGAGTCCCCGCGAGATCTTGGTCATGGTCCCCGCGCTCCTGCCCTCGAGTGCTGTTGGTCGGGTAGGCGGGGGGCGACATATCGCCGCCATCGGTGGACTGTCCGCGGAGCGGCCGCGCGCCCCTCTCGGGCTGCCGACGCGCCGTGCGGCCAGTGGCGGAGGGGCGATTCTGGTGGGCGCGCGCGGGTCGGAGGCAAAGGCCGAGGGGCTTTCGCCCCCCCCGCGGGCGGCCGCCGAGGGCCGAGGGCCGCCGGCCGGGGCGCGGGCGTCCGCGCCCCGGGCTCTGCCTCGGCGGGCGGCGGGGGGCGCGGCGCGCGGCGCGCAGAAGGCCTTGCGTCCGAGCGATGGCGAGTGCTCATCCTCCTCCTCCTGCTCCTGCTGCTCCTCCTCCTCCTCCCCTCCTCCTCCTCCTCCCCTGCCTTCCTCCCCCTCCTCCTCCTCCTCCTCCTCCTCCTCCTCCTCCTCCTCTTCCTCCTCTTCCTCCTCTTCCTCCTCCTCCTTCCGTGGCCGCGCAAGCTTGCGAGCTCGGGAGCGCGGTGCAGCCGGCGGGCATGCTCGCAGCCAGGCAGGGCCCCCGGACGGCCGGGCCGCTGCACGGAGGGCGCCGTGGCCACGGGCAAACAGAAGAGAAGAGACGCCATGTCCTCCGCGAGTTCGCCCTCTCGGGAGACCAGGCGTGCCCTAGTCCGCATGAGCGGTACCGCTCGGTTCGCGCGCGCGTCGGCCCTGGGCGCTTTCGGGGCTGCTCGCGCGCGCGCGGGCCGCGCGCCCGCACGGAAACCGCTCTCTCGCTCGCGATTGGGAGAATCTTCCTCCTCTGCCTCATCCTTTTCGCCCTCCCCTCCCTTGCTGCTCCCCTCTGCTCCCCATCCTCCCTATCCTCCCCTCCTCCCCTGCGCTGTCCTGCCCCTCCGGCTTGGACGCTGGGCTGTAGTGGGAAGGCCGCGCTGTAGCTTTTTTCGCTTTGTCTTGCTCGCAGCTTCCGGTTTACAGTCCAGACGCTGAAAGAATGACTGCTTTGGGCTCAGGAAGGGCTCTGGTCTTCTGGCCGTTCCTGAGATCCAGGTCGGGGAACCTTTTCGTGGCCGAGGCTCGCCGTGACCAGAAAAGCCCTTTTGATTCGTTCTTTACTTAGCGTTAAATCGGGCACGTCTTTTTACAGGAAAAATATTCAAAAGTATTCAACAATAGTATGGGGATTGTTTTTATCTGCTTTTATGGGGCCATTTTCCATATTTACAACATAGAAAAGACAAACATTTCGTTCAAAAGTCCGCCTGAAGAGGGACACGCCCGACCTAAACTTAGCATCCCTCATGGCAGGACTGTGGCTGTGTTTTTTTCGTTTCGGTAGCAGCTGCACGGCAGGGCACAGCGAAATGCCGCCCGACGCCGCGGTGGACACCCCGCAGGGCGCACCGGTGGGCATCCTAGGACGTGGGGGTCACCAGGGGACATCACGAACCACCTCCATTTTTTGCCAGCCAGGGCTGGAGGAGGAGGAAAAAGGAGGAAAAGAAGGAGGAGGAGGGGGAGGAGGAGAAAGAGGAGGAGGAGGAGGAATATGAGGAAGAGGAGGAAAAGGAAGAGGAGGAGGAAGAGGAGGAGGAGGAGGAAGAGGAGGAGGAGGAGGAGGAACTCCGAGCCGACAGCGCCCTTGAAAGGACTCAACCACGCGCGCGGCTTGGAGCAGAAGTTCAATTCCGAACCAAGACGCTGAACACAATATTCTGGCATGGTATGCGGGGTTCAAAGGTATTTTCATATCTCCGAAGTGCCATTCAAATTCAGTCCCAGGGGACGTGCTTCAAGAAATTACATTTGCGCCGATCATTTAGAAACTCTTCTGGTGTTGTTGGGGGCGGGATGTCATATGTCCTTTACTATACCCCTGAGGTGCAACGCAGATGGGCTCCCAGGGGACGTTCCCGAGGGTTCGCAGTTGCCCCGGGTTTGTCGCGCAAGGCTGGCCCAGCGTTTGCTCAAGATCGAAGGAGAAAGTTGGCTCAGGTTTCCAGGCTGCCAGTCTCTCCAGCAGAGCCTTTGCTGTACTCTCGGGCTCGTTGCGAAAATCCGTCGTCCAGCGGACAGGATCCCAGTACGCAGCGCGTCTGCACGTCCTCTCCATTGTGCTTTTTGTCTGCATCCAGTTCGTCGGCTCCCGTTCACGTTCCTCTGCGCGCCTCTGCTTTCATCAGGGGGCGATTGTGGCTCAGGGCCCGAGGCCAGCAACCTTTCAGGTACACGACAGCCTTAGGTCGGGCATGTCCCTCTGCAGGAGGAAGATTCAAGAATAGCAGCAAAAATAGGCAGGCGACCCTTTTTTTGCGCTCTTTTGACTATGTTCGGGTATTTCTGACTGCGATTCTTTTTCTTCCAAGCTCCGCATGTAGGAGGACATGCCCGACCTGACATCAGCCATTTTCTCCAGCTGTCCGCGGCCACCTGCGGAAATGACTCAGGCACCTGCGCAGGGGGCCACAGGGAGTGGCAGGGGAAGGGCGAGTCAACGAGCACCGGTTGCGTATTTCAAGCGTGTGGCTCGACAACAGCAGATCACGGCAAGCAGCAGACAGCAGAAGGTATGGAGGCAGGAGGCTTGGGGAGACGTCAGGCAGTTTCAAAAGGCGAATCCCATCGGAAGTGCAACCTATCTAGGGCTTCGGGCAGGACCGTCAGGTCGCTCTGAGCACGCGTCACTCCTGCTTCGACCCTCCTGCGGCCAGTCATTCATCAGCAATCTCTGTCTGTCGAGGGTCCACCCGTCGCGCGCGATGATGTGTGCATTTGTATTACCCTTTTTCTCTCCATGCCCCCTCCGCGGCGAACCCAAGTCGCTGCCGTCTCTAGCTCTTCTGTTTTTGCATCTCTGCGACCAGTCGGTACGACTTCCGAGTCATGCCGGCGGTATGGCTGTCGGCCAGGTTTTTTTCAAGGCGAAGTGCTACACAGAGATGGGGCAGCGCGTGGTGCTTACAGGGAACGACCCGACGCTCGGGTCGTGGGACCCTACGAAGTCTAAGGCGGGCTGTGGAGCAAGCTGTCATGGGGGGAGGTGTGCTCTGAAAGTCAGAATGCAGAATACTGACGTCGGGTGACGCTGAAGTTTGTTTGATAGCAACTCACGGGAGCTTTGTGTGTCCTCGTAACTCCGTCTTTGAGTGCATTAGCGTGCGCTAGCGTCAAGTAATCGATCACATAACGCAGAATTCTTGACGCTTCGCGTATCCCCACCAGTCCCGCCCGCTGGAATCGTCCTTTGGGCCGCAGATCAAAAAGTATCCCCACCAGTCCTGAGCCGGTCACCTCCAATGAGGGTCATTTTGTCCCTGGCATGTGCACTCGCCTCGGCGGCCTACGCGCCTCTGCGGCCAATTATCTCGCTCTGTGCCCCAAGCTTTGAAACCCGCTCCCTGGACATCTCCTTGGAACCGCAAACCAAAAAAAAAATATCCCCACCAGCCGCGATTGGCATAGTCAGCAACAACTGCTCGAGTGAATGTTCTACCATTCTCCTCCTCTCCTGTCACACCTGGCAACACGTCCTCTGGGTACACCCTGCCGCCTCGGTTTCCATTGCCTTTGCAACGGTCAGTCGCTTCCACCGGGGGGAGTGCGAAGATTGTCGCGGGTCGCAGGGTGAGGGGCAGGGAGAAGACAGAGTGAACCTTGCTGGCCGTCCAACACAACCCACTGGCAACACGTCCCCTGTGGATACCCAGCCACCTCGGATTCCAAAGGGTTCTGCGATGGTTAGTCACTTACACTGGGAAGAATGCGGAATGGGTCAGGAGAAGGGGCAGGGAAAAGACAGAGAGGACCTTGCTGACCGTCGACATCCACTGGCGACACGACCCCTTGGAACACCCAGTCGTAGATTTTGCGACGGTCAGTCGCCTCCACTGGGAAAAGTGGAGGTAGTCGCGAGTCGCAGGAGGAAGGGACCCCCCCCGTTGTGGAGGTGCTTAGTTGGCACAGTCAGGGTTGGCATAGCCAGGGTTGGCACAGTCACGTTTGGCCTAGTCAGCGCGGTCGGAAATGACACACCCACGATTGACATAGTCAGCAACAACTGCTTTCGCCTACACGGGGAAATTGCGAAATGGGTCGCTTCCACCGGGAAGAGCGCGAAGATAGTCGCGAATCGCCGGAGGAGGAGCAGGAAACAATTTGGGAGGACTTTGCACGTACAATTGTTTATGTGAACTGGCACGTGCCATGGAGTCAACAACCCACCGTAGCAGGCTGCCTCCATTTCCCTTCCTGTTTTTCTTCCGAGGCTGCGACGGTTCGTCGCTCTTCTCATCCTGCGGCCCTTGCATCCGCTGTCCATGTGCCCTCATATCCCCAAGCTGCAGCGGTTAGCTGCGTTCCATGTCTGTCCATGCGCCTTCATTGCCCATTACTGCAGCGGTTGGCTGCGTTCCGCCTCTGCCATGTTCGCCTGTTTCTCCTGCCGTACTCCTCGTCCGCCGTGCCCATGGCTTCCATCCCTCTCCGAGTGCACAGAATTGCGCAACACTTCGCTGACAAGCAACACTAGCTCAAACACCACAGAGTCGAGCAGTACGTCGTCGAGCAGCACGTCGCTGGTCAGCACGACTGAGTCGTGCACTACGGGATTGAGCACCACGGAGTCGAGCAGCACCACGCTGGCCCGCACGACCGAGACCAGTATGACGGGCTCTAGTACCACAGAGTCGAGCAGCACGTCGCTGATAAGCACGACCGAGACCAGCACGACAGGCTGAATTACCACAGAGTCGAGCAACACCTCGCTGACCAGTACGACGGGCTCAAGTACCACAGAATCAAGCAGCACCACGCTGAGCAACACGTCGCTGACCAGCACGACCGTGTCGAGCGCCACGGGATCGAACACCACTGAGTCGAGCAGCGCCGCGCTGGCCAGCACGACCGAAACCAGTGCGACCAGCTCAAGTACCACAGAGTCGCGCAGCACGTCGCTGACCAGCGCGACCGAGACCAGCACGTCAGGATCAATTACCACAGAGTCGAGCAGCACCTCCCTGACGAGTGCAACCGGCTCAAGTACCACAGAGTCGAGCAGCACATCGGTGCGTGGGATGTCGCTGACCAGCGCGACCGAGTCGAGCTCCGCGGGATCGAGCACCCTGGAGCCGTGCAGCACCGCGCTAACAGGCACGACCGAGACCAGCGCTACTGGCTCAAGTATCACAGAGTCGTGCAGCACGTCGCTGACAAGCACGACCGAGTCGAGCGCTGCAGGATCGTGCGCCTCAGGTTCGAGCAGTACCTCGCTGACCAGCACGACCGGCCCAAGTGCCACAGCGTCGAACAGTGCGTCGTCGAGCAGTACCTCGCTGACCAGCACCGCCGAGTCCAGCACTACGGGCTCGAGCGCCGTAGTAGCAGCTCCTCGCCGACAAGCGCGACCGAGACCAGTGCAACTGGCTCAAGTACCGCAGAGTCGAGCAGTACTTCGCCGACCAGTGCGACCGAGACCAGTCGACTGGCTCCAGAACCACAGTGTCGTGCAGCACCTCGCTGATCAGCGCGGCTGGCTCAAGCGCCACAGAGTTGAGCAGTGCGTCGTTGACCAGCGCGACCAGGGCCAGTGCGATCGGCTCAAGTACCATGGGGTTGAGCAGCACCCCGCTGACCAGCACGACCGAGACCAGTGCGACTGGCTCCAGTGCCACAGAGTCGAGCAGTATCTCGTTTTTCAGCGCGACCAGGTCAAGCGCCGCAGAGTCAAGCAGCGCGTCGTTGACCAGCGCGACGGCGTCGAGCGCCACGGGGTCGAGCAGTGCGTCGCTGCCCAGGACCTCCGAGTCGTGCGCCACGGAGTCGAGCCGTGCCTCGCTGACCAGCACGACTGTCTCAAGCGCCGCAGAGTCGAGCAGCGCGTCGCTGACCAGCGCGACTGAGTCGGGCAACGCGGCGTCGAGCAGCGCGCTGCTGACAAGCGCTGCCGAGTCGATCGCCGCGGGGTCCAGTGCCGCAGAGCCAAGCAGTGCAATGCTGACCAGCGCTACTCATTCGAGCACCGCAGGATCGTACATCACCTCCCTGTCCAGCATGGCCTGCTCGAGCACCGCGGAATCAAGCAGCGCGACGCTCGGCGCCGCGTCAAAATCAACCAGCGCCACGTTGCGCAGCACTGCTGAGTCGAGCGCTGCATCGCTGACTGCAATGACAGGATCAAGCGGCACATCGTTGACCAGCTCATCAGAATCTTTACCCCCTCACTAACGAGCGCGGCCGACTCAAGCACCGCAAAATCTAGCAGCGCCAGTTTGACCAGCGCGAGCGAGTCGAGCAGCACATGCACCAGTCTGACGTGTGCCACGGAACCGAGCAGCACATCGATGACGAGCAGCACTGCGCCGAGCAGCGCCGCGGTGGGCAGCGCGACCGAGTCGAGCAGCGTGAGCTTGTCCAGCATTGCGGAAGCCAGCAGCACCTCGTCGAGCAGCGCGGTGTGCGACCGACTCCCGTGCCCCTTGTCCCGTTAGCCATCGCCGCAGGCTCCGGTCACTGAGTCCAGTGGCGCGTCGCCGACCAGCGCAACTGAGACCAGCAGCTCGACGATGAGCACCAGTGAGACGAGCAGCGCAACGAGGACCTACACAACGGAGTCTTGCACTACAGGCTCCAGCAGAACAGAGTCCAGCATCGCGTCGTTGACTCGCGCAACTGAGACAAGCGGCGCGGCGACGAGCGCTGGTGAGTCAAGCAACGCGACGGTGAAGAGCACCGCGGGGCCGGGCGCCACAGAGCCGAGCAGCATGTCGTCGACATGCGCCGCCGAGACGAGCTGCGCGGCGACGAGCGCCGCAGAGACCAGCAACGCGACCCTGACGAGCACAACCAGCTGTAGCACGACAGAGTCCTGCAGCGAGTCGCTGACCATCACCACTGAGACATGCAGTTCGGCAACGAGCACTCGGGGGGCGAGCAGCGCGCGTTGGCAAGCGCAGCGGCGTCGTGCAGCACGAGGTCCAACATGGCGCTGTCGAGTAGTACTTCGCCGACGAGCGCTACCGAAACATGCGGCGCGACGACGTGCGCAAATGGCGCCGGCAGCGCGCCGGTGTCGTGCACAACGGAGTCGGGCACCACGGGGTCTATCACTACAGAGTCGGGCAACATGTCGCTGGCTAGCGCCGCCGTGACAACCGGCGCGGCAACGAACGCCAGCGAGTCGTGCAGCACAACGCTGTCGAGCGCAACTGGGCGCAGTACCGCGGGATCCACCCCGCGGATTCGAGTGGCGCGTCGCTGGCCGGCGCCGCCGTGACAAGCGGCGTGGCAGCGGGGGCCAGCGAGACTAGCTGCGCGTCGGCGACTTGGGCCAACGCAACCCACTGGCAACGCGACCCCTGGGAACGCCCAGCCGCATCGAATTCCAAGGGATTGTGCGATGGTTAGTCACCTGCGCCTGGAAGAGTGCGAATTGGGTCGCGAGGATCAAGTATTATACCGCTCCTGGGTGGTGCGGTGCCTACTGGGTGCCGTAGACCGGCGCCCCCCCCGTGCTGGTGGCCGACAGGGTTCAGCGGGCTCCGATGCTCGTGTCTCCTGCTCCCTATTGTTGCCGCAGCGGTTAGCTGCCGCAGCGGATTGCCTACCGTGCCTGGCGTGCACTTTCCTTCCTCTCCCTCGTTTCACCGGGTTTATCCCGCGCGGCTGGGGTTGCCGCCGATGCCGCTGTCTGATAGTGCTCTGAAAAAACCGGAATTCCATGCCAGGTTCGTACTGGGAACGGGCGGTCAGGTGGCCCCTGGCCTGCTCCTGGCTGGTGTCGGCCTCCACTGGTGACCGGGGGGGGTCCGTGACGTCTCGCTTCGGTTTCCATGCGAGGACCGCGCTGGGTATGGGCGGTCAGGTGGCCCCTGGCCTGCTCCTGCTTGGTGTCAGCCTCCGCTGGTGACCGTTTGGGTTCCGTGGGGTCTCGCTACGCTGCCGTCCTCTTCGGTGCAAGGACTTCGGCATGTGTGGCTCGGGGCGCCCGTCGCCTGCTTTTCTCCTACATGGACTTCGCTTCCGACCTGTTCCACCGGGTGTACATACAAGAGGATCTGCTGTTTGCAGTCCTGTCTGTGACGAGGCTGCCCCCTCTTCACTTCGGCGCCGACACGATTCCGTTGTGTCACTTACGGCACGGATGTCGTCCTGGAGTGCCTGTCGGACCTGCTCGTTTGTTGCTTGGACTTATGCCGGTTCACACCAGGTGATCGACCTCTGCGTGTTTATGGTCGCGCCGCCGCGCGCCATTTTGGCTGCGCCTACTTGATGGTCGCCACCGGGATTTCCATGCCACCGGGTTGGGAGTGCCGCTCCTGGTCCTCCTTCTGAGTGGCTGCCCGCGCGCTCGCTTCGCTTGCCCCTCCGTTTTTGTGCTGCCTAGTCGCGGCCCGGCTAGTGACCGGACGGTTTTCGACTTGCTTCGCGAGCCCGCAGACCAAAACAAATCCCCACCAGCCCATTCAGAAACGACGCCCATGAGAGCTGAATGGGGGGGTTTTGAAGGATGCTGGCCTCTTGGCGCCTCCTGGGGAGGCTCCGTGGCCATCTTGAGCCATCTTGGAGCGGTCTTGGGGCCTCTTGGGGAATATTGGAAGCCATCTGGAGCCAGCTTGGGCTATCTTGAGCCATCTTGGAGGTCATTTTGGGCTCTCTGAGACCGCTTGGGGGCCTCCTGGGTGCTTCCCGGGTGCCTTTTGGAGGCCCCTTGGGGCCTCTTCGGCCGCTCTTGGGGCCCTTTTGGGGGCCTTTTGGGAGCCCTGGAGGGCCTCTTTGGGCCATCTTGGAGGCGGTCGGTCAAAAGAGGGGGGGTGCTCGATTTGCCCCCTCCCCCCCCCCCCCCCCCCCCCCCCCCCCTCCCCCCCCCCCCCCCCCCTCCCCCCACACCCCCTTCCTCTCCCCCCCTCTCCCCTGGGGCCACGATCCTCGTGAGAGGTGGCAGCAAATGGCCCTCCCAATGACAGAACAAAAGAACCTCGCGATTCCTCCCAAAAAATTTCAGGGAGGGGGAGGGGAGGGCTCCCCTCTCTGAAGGGAAGAGGGGTTGTGGAGGAGGAAGAAGACCTTCGTTAGACCACCGGTCGCCCAAAGAGCTGGTAGGATTGGCGTAGACTAGTGTCGATGTTGCGTCGACCAGCGCCGATTTAACGTCGATCAGCGCCGATTAGCGTCGGGTAGCTTCGATTCGCAAGAGCCAGCAAGATGACACGGGAGGCTCCGGCTCCCATGAGTTGCCACCGACGGTTTGCTGGGGGTCGATCTGGTGAGAGAGTGTAAGGTTACCGAAGTAAGCTAGAGCTTCGAGGCCAGCGCTGTCCTAGTTGTTCTGGCTTCTTCGTATTGCTTCCGTAGTGAGGGGCCATCGAGTTGCGCTCTTCCACGCTTCTCCACCAGCTCGCGTGTGGGTGCAGGGCGGGGGTGGAGAAACCAAGCTGCTTGGCTCGTTCAGTCTGCCAATCCTGTCTCATCGCTAACACCTGCCTGCGTGCTCGCGGGGGCTGAGGAGCAGAGAAGGGCCAGTTGAGACAACGGTAGTTGGCTTCCAGGGGGCCCCTTTGCCGCCACGGCTGGACGCAGCTCGGGAAACGGGTGTGTGTTTGGATCCCCTGGACGGGTTCGGGGACCGATTTTGAGCTGCCGTTGTCTTATCTTGACTGCTCCGGGAGAAGGTGGTGGGTTGCGGTCGTTCTCCTGAGTTGTCGCGCGAATCGCTCTTGGGGGAGAAGCACTGGCAGTGTGGTCGCAAGACAACAGCCAGTTGGGGCCTTTTGGCGATGGCTGGGGCCTCTCGGCCTGACGAGGCTCAGTTTTGTCTCTGGCAGTTGTGGATGCTGGAGGCGTTCCTGTGCGGCCCTGGACTCGTCTGAAACTCTGTGGAAGCCATGCTGAGCCCGTAGTGCGGATAGACTTGACTCAGGAGGGGATATGGGAAGTGGGGGGAAGACACATGATCAGGAAATGCGAGAACATATGGGAAATCCTGGGACCTGTGTTTATTTATTATCTTGCACAGGGTGTCTAGAGCTCCGACCAGTTTATTTCCGCGTCGCACCGCCCCCACCGTCCTTCCCCCCCGCCCCTCCAAACACCCACACCAACCACCACCACCACCACCACCACCACCACCACCACCACCACCACCACCACCACCACCACCACCAGCGTGACATCGCCCCCCGCCCAGTGCTACGCCCCGACCACTTCAATTCGGCGTCGCACCCCCATCCAGTGCCGTTTCTACCTCGGGCACCCCACCCCTGTCCGCCCCGACCACTTTATTTCGGCGTCGCACCGCCCCCACCGTCCCGCCCCCATGGCCTTTTCCCTCTCCCAGCCTGCCCTCTGCACCCCGCCCCCCACCGCCCCAACCATTTTATTTCGGCGTCGCACCCCCCCCACCGCCCTGCCCCCCCGACCCTTCCCCCCTCCCCAGCCGCCCAGTCCCCTTTGCACCCCGCCCCATCCGCCCCGACCACTTTGTTTCGGCGTCGCACCGCCCCCTCCGCCCCGCCCCCACGATCCTTTTCTCTCCCCACCCGCCCAGTGCACTCCGCCCCCCTTCGCCCCGACCGCTTTCTTTCGGCGTCGCACCGCCCCCATCGCCCCGTCCCCTCGACCCGTCCCCCTCCCCAGCCTCCCGGTGGCCTCTGCCCCCCTCCCCCCTCCGCCCCGACAACTTGATTTCGGCGCCGCACCGCCCACACCGTCCTGCGCCCCCCGACCCCCCCCCCCCTCCAGCCGCCCAGTGTGCCCCAACCCCCTCCGCCCCGACCGCTTTCTTTCGGCGTCGCACCACCGCCACCACCACCGTCCCACCCCCCCGACCCTTCCCAACAACACCCCCTTCCGCCCCGACCATTTTATTTCGGCGTCTCTCCGCCCCCACCGCCCCCTCCGCCCCGCCCCCCTGACCTGTTTCCCCCTAGCCTCTCGCTGCCCTCTGCACCCCGCACCCCTCTGCCCCGACCAGTTTTTTTCGGCGTCGCATCGCCCCCACCGCCCCCACCGCCCCCACCGACTAGTTTTTTCGGCGTTGCACCGCCCCCACCGCCCCGCCCCCCGCCCCCTCCACCACCCACCCAGACCAAACCACCACCATCACCAGCGTCACCCCCTCCGCCCCGACCACTTTCTTTCGGCGTCGCACCGCCCCCCCCCCACCGCCCCGCACCGCACGAGCCTTCCCCCCTCCCCGCCCGCCCAGTGCCCTCTGCGCCCCGCCCCCCTCCGCCCCGACTCCCCCCCCCCCCTCCGCCCCGACCACTTTGTTTCGGCGTCGGACTGCCCCCCATGGCTCCCCCCGCCCCCCCGCTCTCCCCAGCAGCCCAGTGCCCTCTTCGCTCCCTCCCGCCCGACCACTTTCTTTCGACGTCGCACCGCCCCCCTCCTGGCCCGCCCCCCCCCCCCCCCGCCCGTCTCCTCTCGACCCACCCACACCCACCACCACCAGCGCGACCCCCTCCGCCCGGCTTCGCGCCGCCGTCACCGTTGCCCAGCAGCCCTGCGTCCTCGCCACCCCGACCTCCTCGGCCCCCCTCCGCCCCGAACATTTTTATTTCGGCGTCGCCCCCCCCCCCCCCCTCACCCCAGCGTGACCCCCTCCGCCCCGGCCGCTTTGTTTCGGCGTCGCATCGCCTTCACCCCAGCGTTCCCAAGCAGCCCAGTGCCCTCTCCACTCCGCCCCCCTTCGCCCCGACCATTTCATGTCGGCGTCGCGCCGCACCCACCGCCCCGGGGAGCGTCGTCTGGGCTCCCGGGGAGCTCTTGGGACCCTCTGTGGGTTTCTTGGGTGTCTGTTGGAGGCCTCTGGGGGGCATGTTAAAGGTCTTCGAGGCCATCTCGTGGGGGACGGCCCGTAGAGCCTCCTCGAGTTCGCCCTGTGACGCCCTTCTTGCGGCCCTCTGTGGGCACTCCTTCTCCGATTTCTCGTCCCCTCTCTCCTCTCTCTCCTCCTCCTCCTCCTCCTCCTCCTTCTCCTCCTCCTCCTTCTCCTCCTCCTCCTCCTCCTCCTCCTTCCACCCTCCCTTTTGTGCAAGAGCCATGGCACGCGTGCCACTTGTTTGTGTGTCCCTGGGCCCCCTCGTTGACACATCTCAGAGCTGTGATGTGGGCTCTGGGTGGGGATTTTGAGATGGAGCACGAAGTGCGCGAGGGAGGAGGGATCCAGGAGCGTGGGTAGAGAGGGGAAGAAGCAACGGGATGAGGGATGCGGGAGGCGGTGGAGGTAGCATGCGAAGAGCGTCGGATATGATGGAGGATGGATGTATGTCGAGAGCCTTGAGAGACGGGGGTCAATAAGAACGGGGGTCAGCCATGGCGCCAGATCTTGCAGGATACTGCAGGGCCAGGGTCAGGGTCGCATTGACCCAGGCTTGGGTGCAGGATCGTGCGTGATCCTGCAGGATTTTGCAGGATCCTGCAAGGCCTCACCGACCCCGGGTCTGGATGGACCTGGGCCAGAAGCTCCCCGAGTATGGATTGGGCGCTCGGTATGTTGACGAGTGCTGCGCACGTGGAGTCGTGCGGAGGACGACGCCGAACCGAACACGACCTCACCAACGTTTCACCACCGAGATCCAAAAGGGAGGAGGAGGAGGAGGAGGAGGAGGAGGAGGAGGAGGAGGAGGAGGAGGAGGAGGAGGAGGAGGAGGAGGAGGAGAGGGCAGCACTGTCTTTAGCTGTATATCAGCGCCTCCCCGCCTGCTCCGGGTCGCCTGCCTGTGCAATGAGCGGCCACCCCTTCGCGGGCGCACATGCTTGATTTGACTCTCTCCTCGGTTCGGATGCAAATCCTGGGATGTCAAATTCTGATTTTGCCCTGGTCAGAAATCCGGCTTAATCTCGCTTAATCCCGCTTGATCCGGCTTAATCCCGTTTAATCCCGCTTAATCTGGCTTAATCCGAGGCCCATTCCTGCGTAACAGCCCAATGGGGCTTAATCCTTTTTAATCTTTCCGACGACAACCTCCCAGCAGTTGCCTCCTAACCTCGGGGGGGACTGTTTTGACGCCTCTATTTTTTCCCCGGCCAGTACTACTGTCTTCCCCGTCTCACTTGGGCAACGACTCAGAATCGGCTCCGGAGAGGGGGGGCGGTTTTCGGAGGATGCGTGCCGCACGCGTCCTCCGAAAAAAAACGCCCCCCCTTTCTGGGGGGTACTGCGTCCGTTCCACGATGCTCGTGAGAGCATACAAGATTTCCAGTGTGGGAGTGTTTACTATTGTTACAAAGTCCAGGGTTCGCTAGGGACTGGTTTCCTGGCAAAATGACCGAAATCCTCTGAAAACCCTCCGTGGAAGGGTTCCAGGAGGGCTTTCGGAGGGTTTTGGGAGGGTTTTTGAAGGGAGTTCGTCGTTTTGGGAGGAAATCAGTCCCTAGCGAACCCCCGGCTTTCTAATACTATTGTACGTTATTGCGCCCATGTTTGCGCGAAATCTGCTCCCACCCCGTTAGCACTCTTCAGAGTGCGGGCCTGGAATGGGGTCGGCCCTTGAAAACAGGAAAGCAACCTTCACAGACATCAGAGAAGCATTGCCAGACGCCTCACCGTGCACAGGGCACAGAGGCGGATTAGGGTCTGGAGGGACAACTAGACACAAATACAAATAAGCGCTGTTTGTTAGTCTCTCATCTACCGGGAACCTGGCCCAGGAGGCCCCAGGCCGCAGCACACCAGGGGCCATTGATATACACCAAGTCCCTCTTCCAAGCCCTGGAGATTCCCTGGCCCCCTGGAGCTCCCAGGCAGGTTCCAAATAGGCCCAAGACAGGCCGACGTGGCTTCCGGACGGCCCCACATGGCGCGAAGACGGCCCAAGAGGCCTCCGAGACGCCCCAATCGGACGGGGCTGGGACACAAATCCGTTCCAGAGATTTCAGGTGCGCTCTCAGGTCATTCGCAGCGCTCTGCGAAGGCCGTGTCGCCCGAGGATATCCTCCAGAGCAGCCGGTTCTCAGAGATTCTCGACTTTATCCTTACCCCATTTTGTCCTCGTCCTGGCTTCGTCTGACCAAGACGCCCCCGAGACGCCCCAAAACGGCTCCAAGAGGACCCCCAAGAGGGCCCCGAGTCGGCCCAAGAGGGCCCCAAGACGGCCCAAGGCACCCAGGTCCGCCCAAGACGGCCTCAAGAGGGCCCCAAGAGGAGCCCCAGGGGGGGAATTTGAATCGACATTCGAGGCCCTCCGCCCCAAGAGGACCCCGAAGACCGCCAGCAGGCCCCCAAGGACTGCCCAAGCGGACCCAAGCGGCCCCAAACAGGCCCACAAGAGGCCCAGAAGGGCGCCCCAAGAGGTTTCAGAACGGCCTCCAAGAGGAACAGGCATTCAAGTGGTCGGCGTCGCCCTACATACTAATATTGTGTGTGTGTGTGTGTGTGTGTGTGTGTGTGTGTGTGTGTGTGTGTGTGCGTCGCCCCCCCACGGTCGACGCGTGCACAGAGAAATCTTATGCTATGTGCGTCGTGGCGGGCGCTTTCTGGCCACACCGCTCGGGGAGACGATCTACTACAAGATGGGTATACTCTATGTTCGGGTCGGACGCGCGCCTCCAAGGAGGACAAAGAGTATTAGTGTGTCTCTGTGCGTCCCAAGAGGTCTCACACCAGCAACCCAGGCTCGGTGGCAGGATGGGCAGAAGCCCACCTGGAGGGGGCACGCGTGGCCTAGGGACACGGTGGCCCCTCCTCTCTGTTCTCTCGCATCCCGAGGCCTCGAGCCCGCGAGGATCCAGGAGACTGCCAGCAGGCCCCGAAGAACCCCCCGGGGCCCCGAGGGGCTTCGAAGCTGCCTCCGGGAAGTTGCCCGGAGGCTTCCCGAACGACCCCTAGCCGGCATCCAAGATGTCTCTGACGAACATCCCAGGCACGGTGGCAGGAGGCGCCGAAGGCCGCGCGGATGTTCACACGCGGACGAGGGTCACCGGGGCCCCTCCTCTCTCTCTCTCTCTATATATATTATCATTTTTGCTTTCCGTCTTCAGTGGCTCCGCTGCTCCTTCTCTTCCTGTCCCCCTTCCGATTCTGCTCTCGTCTGCGTCGCCGTCATGCTCCTGGACTCTTCTCCCGTTTCTTGACCTCCAATCCGCCCCCTCGTTCTCTTTGTCGTCCTCCTGGGGACCTCCGCGCTCAGGGAAGAGCTGTTACCTCCTCAGTACCTCCTCAGGGACCTCCGCTAGCGTCTTCGGATTACGGTCCTCTCCGCAGTCGTCGCCCACTCCTCGACGTCTCACTGCGAGCTGGGATTCCGGAGAACGTGAGCGCGCGCGCGAAGCGCGCGTGAGAATTCTCATGAAAATGCGGAGACATGAAGGGAGAGAGGAACCTCCAGGAAAGATGCATCACCATATGAAATCATCGAATGTGGCTCTGTCCTGGACCCACCTTCCTTCGGGCTGAGTTGGGGCCTCTTTGGGTTACTTCTATGGTCTGGCTGCCTTCGACTTGGGCTGGTCTTCGCGCCCTCCCGACGCATTCCTGGGGCGCTCATGGGTCCCTTTGGAGCCTCCTGGAATGCGTTTTGGCTCTGCTCGGGGCTATCTTGAGCGCTTTGTGAGCCATCTTAGTGCCCCAAGGCCGATCAGATGCGAAATGGCGAGACAGCCAAATCATTGAGCAACTTTCAAGTTGATGATTTTGGTTAGTTGGGGGCCATTTTCAGGCGGCTTGAGGGCTGCCTTGGACCATAGTGGGCCACCTTGATGCTATTTTGGATCCGCTTGGGTCTATTCCAGGACACCTTTTGGGGTCTGCGTGGTGGCAGCCTTTCAGAAAACATGGACTGCTAATCGCGCGCCCTACTCTTTACAGCTGGTTGTCGCGGGACGGATCGTCCTTGAGCTGGGTACACGCCCGCCGAGTTTTTGGACTCCTTGCTCGCCCACACGGGCTCGTTCGATCATATGGTCTTTCTCCCACCAGAGGTATGCCTACACCACAGGGAGGGGGGGCAGCTGGGAGCCGCAGGGAGGAGCCCTCAGCCATCTTTGAAATCGGGGAGGTGGAGCTCACCACGGATGCTGCGCATTACCCCTACTGGACAGGAGCTCTGTCTGCCCCCGTTGGGACCGACATCCTTTTCAAG